CGACCATCAGGATAGACAAAAGCTTGTGTACTTGGCAGTAGGAACATGGATTTGCTCCATCACCTGTTTCCCTTAGCATGTACCAGAGTCATCACAAAACAAGCTTACATCGAACTTTTTTCTGACGGCACTCTTCACATGCACCTCTCCGTCGAGTCAATTTGGGGCGAAGACTAGTCATTTGGCTGGCAAGGGTGCCTTTGGACGTGTAAATGCAGGAAAAGGCAGAGCCTGAACAAAACACATGCGAGAATTTGTAGCTGACATACTCACCCAATACTCTGCAGCGCCGGGAAACGCAGGTAACGTATGTCACTGTATGCCGAAAAACACGGTGTGCCGAAAATAACCAATCGGATAGCAAGGAGCGTAGAGAATTCCATGATCCTTGCGATCCAATTGGTTATTTTCGGCACACCATGTTTTTCGGTACATAGGGACGGACGTTATCTAATGCGACCGGCCAGATAAGCTCATTAACGCCTCTACAAGGGTATTCCAGACCCACTTTCTCACGCCTTAAGTTGTGTCTTACTCCGGGTGGGGCTTAACTAGTATGCTGTGAGCGGAACAGATACGAGATAATCTGTAGCGCTATCACATGTTTTGAGACGCGCACTTTGCTCAGATATGTAAAATAGATGCTGGCATCCTCTGGCATACAACCATACTTGGGAACAAGCAAGCAAGCAAGCAAGCGTGCTTGCTTGCTTGCATATCACGTTTAGTTGCTTGCCTATTCAGGCAAGCCAAGCGCCTCTCTACAAACCTGCACCAATCAAGTGCAAGCCAAGCGGGCCTCTCTAAATTAGCAACCAAGCGTAACAAGCAAGCAAGCAAGCACGCTTGCTTGTTCCCAAGTATGCATACAACAGCATACAATTTACTGCTACTACCTCATCCTGCATTTCATCGTTACACATTGCTACCTTGGGCTATGTAACATGTAGTGGGTATTGTTAGTCACATATGCCTTGTCATATGACATTTTATCGATATTAACAGCTGGGGTCCGTAAGCCATGCCTCCCTGTAGATCTAGCGCTGTTGAGACCTTGGAACTGTGTTAGTTACTGTGTTAGCGCGGACGATGTGGCCACCATCTCCCTCCTGCGACATTGCAGGATCCCCGGATGTCTAACCTAAATAACCTGACCCATTCTCTCCCCAAAGTGCCGCTAGCTTTTGTGACGTAGAACCGTGCTGTTGTCGATGTAGGATAAGACTAGCCTTGACACAGCAACCCCCAACGTTAAGTATAGTCAGAAGCATGGAAAGTTTGAGTATTGTTGTAGAACTATCTGTTGGAGACGAGTACAACTCTCTAACGCGCTACTATAAAATGCTGAGTTCGATTTCAACCAAGCTTGACAGATCATCATTTCGCACCCACGTTATATCGACATTAGTCTGCAGCCTCACTTCTGCAGGCAGCATTCAATAAGTCCAATCATCATTAGATCGAGGAGCGACCGATCACATCGATTGTTCTGCAGCGGATATCTAGCGCTAAGCCATGTATTGAAGATGGAATAACTCAAAGCTGTTGTGCCGCTACGGGTATCTAGGGGTGAAGCTGCAATCGCTAATGACTGTATCAGAAACTAGACGTTAGGTATGCAGTCAATGCTAGCATGTCTTTATGCTCCAAGGTGCTACGTTTCCACATGATTGTTATGCTAATTAGAAGCGATCTTTGGATTAAAGTGTACTTATTTTATCGAATTGTCTTGACTTATCGAGGCTGAGCGGTAAACCAAGTCGCCTGCAGGAACAGTAACTAGTTGGCTCCAATGTCACTATGAGCGTCAACAGGCGGACGGGGAGGCCATCACTACATGATTTATCAAGTGCTGCATTCGATCAACATCAGGCTAGCTAGCTTATTAACTCTATTGTTTGTTAAATGGGGCTTCTCAAAATAGGATGTAATCTCCGATGAAAGGCCCTTCCCTAACTAACTACTCCCAGGTAGCTTGGTTATTGGTGATGAGTCCAGCCTCTTCCCGTGAGGTCAACTAAATAGTATCTCTTTGCAAGCATCCCTCTTCCGATACCCTCTTCCTACATCCTCTTCCGGCGTTCTGTTAGATGCTGTTTTAAGCATCCGATGCGCGCTGTATCTAGGGCACTTAGTTACCTGGTTCGGTGACTAAGAATACCGAGCGAGACAACCTTGGCAAGATCGGGTTTCTTGGCCATGCCACTCACTGGCGTAGCTACCACCAAAAAATCCCATCCACCATTTCTTTCTTCATCGCGCCTTACGTTACTTTGACTACCACGTCAAGCCCCGTCCTCTTACTCTCTGCGTCTACAACATGAGCGCAATAGAACTAGCCTTCCTCACTGTATCAGATCCCTTCTCTCACTGCTTCGCTTGTCGCAGAACACTTGACGGTGTGTGCAAGTGATTCTGCCATGTTACCGCTGATCACGAGGCTAGAGGCGCAGGCTTCGAGTGCTGCGACTCCTAGCTCACTGTGTTCAAACTTGCATGACTGCAACCCTTGCGCATAATCTATTGTCGCAGCGATCTTCCCTACGCGAAGCGAAGTTACGGATCTTCCGGAAACTCTCGAAGCTTACGTCTCACCGCAAGAAAAACCGCAAGAAAAACCGCAAGAAAAACCGCAAGAAAAACCGCAAGAAACACCGCGAAAAACACCGCAAGAAGGTGATTAGATGCGAGTGCTACATACAGTACACCCGCTTGCACAATCGGCTTCCGGTCTGCGTAGCACACGCAACATTTAGCCTGCAAGGATCTAGTTTCGCTTACTATAGCCTATTCCTCATCTGACGTAGCCTCGGCAGGTATGCTAGCGACAACGTAGAGGGATAGGAGCTTATTAACTAAATCACGATGCAGCGTATAGTAGTCAATCGCTCTAATGGCCATCTTGAAGACAGCGCTATCGCTTTCCTTGCTACCATGCTCTTTACTGTGCACTTAATACGACTTTATCAAAACTGGGACTTAGTATTAGTGAGCTGACTGCTGCTCGGGTTACTTTTAGCAGCATCCTTGTCAAGGCTAAGTCGAATGGGAGCTAGACTATACTAAGCGAAGCCTGACCCCTGTAAGCTGAATGCTCTTTGTATTACGCAGACCGGAAGCCGATTGTGCAAGCGGGTGTAACATTCCTAGCACTACCCGAAGTGTAGTCAGCGGTCGCGGTTGGTTTGTTCCAGGCCACTCCGCCGCCACCTGGCCGCCCGCTGCAATGCAACCGATGAGTGTTAGACCTTACGGATGTCTTCGGAAGTCAGGGTACGAGGTACTTTAGTTGGAAAAAAAAGTGCGGTTTGTAGTGTAACTATACCTATCTAAGTAGTAATCATCAAGCTAGAACCATGCAATGCACAAAGTTGCATAAGCGGGCAACACTATATGGCGTAAATGCAGCTACTCACCTCCCGACTTACTATGCCGTGGGACGGAAAATCTGCAATAGCGTGATTTACCAAGCATGTTTTTTATGAGACTAAACACCGGTGATTACTGCCGGTCTGGGGAGGGGCTAGCGAGATATGGGACTATTTGTTCCACGCGCTAGTGCTAGTGAAAGTGACCTTTCTAATCTGGTTTAGCGCATATTTTATGGAGACGACAGCATCGCGACAGCGCACATCTTTAGGATAGGTTGATGATCGCCTAGCAAGGCCACAGAAGCAACAACAACTTCAGCTGAGCCGAAGTAACAAGCCACTGCCACGGCAATAGGGATGCACCCCCTCAATAAGAAAAAAGCAATGGCTATACACCACAGATAGATGAAGATAGTACCAAAGATAATATGCAACGATTTTGACCGCATCTCCGCGTGCAACAATAACTCATTATCTGGCTTTGCATGAAGTGCAAGTGTGCTCTTGGACGTGACGCTTCGTACACGTCGGCGGCGCGGGCTGACGTCGCTAACAACCCTCCATCTGCCCAGCCTGTTACCACTCTTTCTGCCTCTGCAGCAAGCCACTGAGCCTGTTGCACCTAGAGTACTTGGCGGTACTGTGGGTTAATCACAAGGCCATCTTGACATTTTGGTACACTGGGTTTTCTGTCCCTTTGAGACAGACGTTACGTCCAACCAACCGTAGACGGGCTGGCTTGTTGATTTGATCGGCTGTCCATAGCAGCTTCTTGGCTAATACGGGCTAGGGTGTTTGAGGAAAGGGTCTTCTCAGTACGCCCGCAGAGCTCGATTGGTTAATAGTAGATCCTATCTCCTCTTGTAGGCTCATCGAGTACATTCCTACACGCTGATGCACTTGCAATTTCTGCACTGCTTAGGTTCTATCCCAAGCAATCCATCGTCTTGCTCATTCAAAACTTACCCAGAAAATCCTAGGCTCTATAAGCGTTGGATTTTGATTGATTGGGAACGTTCGGGGATGAAGGAGGCATTGCTGATAAGAGCTAGCGCTACTCGGGTAAGACTATCAAGTGAGAGATGCTTGGCACGGGATGAAAGATATATTGCTTGCGAGAACTGAAAACTGCGAGTACATGAGAATGCAATGATATCCCTGTTTCTATGTCTCTCTTCCGACATACTATTCCATGTCGGTTTCAATTGCCACAAAACCGCCTTGGTAGTTGTTTACACGTCGAAAAACATGATGTGCTTGGTGAGACGCCGATAAGAAGCACAGTCGTATGATGAATCAACGCTTAAAATGTGAAAATATCTTGGCTATACCTACTCGGGCCCAATGGTTCGTTCCGAAAATTTCAAGAAATTGCCCGCGCGTTGCACGGGCCTCCCACCCCAAGGGAAATGCCCACCCCAAGGGCAATAAAATACTTTAGTCGCAAATTTTGGTGTATTTATATGGAATTTTAGATAGAATGATTTGCTAGTTCTTGAAGCTATATTGTAAGACGCTCTCTAGTCATTTTGACTACAGCCACTATATACGTCGCTGTTGTAGTCGCGATCATAGTCACTACTGCCTACGCAGCTAGCTATCTTATCTAGTATTGTTGAGCTCAAAAGTGACTGTTGCGACTCAATTTTTGGGCAAGGAGAATCGCTTTGGTATGAATATAGTAGCTCGTCTTCCTCATTTGCTGGATTATCATCGCTGCTGTCATCCTGGTGTTGAGAGAGCTGGCAGAGCAGCCGGTATGGGCAGACTTGGTAGCGGACCGCCGCAGCTACTTCTGCTGCCTCTGTATTATCAGTTGTGAGTACGCTCTCGTTATACTTAACGCTTCGATCCTCTTGTATGCGTTGTAGTTTATATTGCGCCTTAGTGTTATAATTATAGTTGTTAATAGCGTACTGCCAGCGCGTAATATCACACATTATTATAACGCCACTAGCTGCGCGCTTAAGGTATTTCTTGCCCTGATTCTGTATTGTAGGCCGTATACGCTTCCATTTATTAGCAATAGTTGTTACCTCACGAAGTGATCTTGCAGCAAGCTCTTGTTGTAAGCGGGCGACGTCATTAACCTGGCGGCGTTGTACTATTAAGCGCGCGTCTTGTGAGTAGATAGGTCCACCACCTGCTTCAAGAGCACGGCGTTTACGACGACGGCGCTCGCCTTTAGCAAGTTGCACTGCCTCTGTATGGTGTAGCTCGCGCTGTAAGCCCTCTGCGATGCGCGCAATTGCTGAGACACCACGTTGGTGTTTAATAACGCTGGCAGCGACGTCGCGTGGGAGGTGCTCACGAAGCACAGTGTAGACGAAGGACTCTTGCGCTTGAATCTGGCGAATGGTTTTTGGTGTAACCCATGCAGCGTCGCCAGGTCGTGGGTTCTCTGGCTCTGGTGTTGTGTCCCAGTCAAGCTCATCGCGCTCTCCTTGCGCGCGCCGTCGTCGTCGGCGCGCGCTCAATTGCTCACCCTGTAGCGCTATCCGAACTTGTGTGAAGCGCTGTAGCGGTAGTAGGCATGACGGTGATGAGCCTAAAGACGGCGAAGAGCTTTGTATGTATGGTGTCGTCTGTCACAACTGAGCTGGTGGTGGTGTAGCGCGCTCGTACTCGCTGTCCGTGTCGAACAGCTGCAACTGGTCAAGTACAAGCTCTGGCTTCCATGGAGCAAGACCGGTTCGCCGCCAGCCGCTCTGTATAGTAGTGCGCGTGAAGGTAAGACGCCGGATCTCAGCAAGAGTCGCTAGAAAGTCTGCCTTGTTAATATCTTTTGAGCCAGTGCGAGACGCCCACTCTAAGCAGCGGCCGTGGTACCACTTGAGTGGTTGAAAGCAGCCAACGTCAAGCGGTTGGAGGAGGTGTGTAGTGTGCGGTGGCAGCGCAAAGAGCTGTATATACTACTGCTCAGCGTATTCGATAAACTCTCTAGTTGAGTGAGAGCCGTGTCCGTCTACTAGTAGTAACCGCCATGCGCCAGTAGACCGCTGCTTCGTCCGGCGATCAAAGTGCTTCAACCAGGCAAGCGCAAGCTGATCGTTGCTATAGCCACTCTCTGAGATTGCAATAAGGTAGTTATCAGGCAGATCAACTACCCACTGCTCCATAATCGTTGCCGCTTTAATAATAACCATTGGCTCAATTGCAAAGCCAGTAGAACAGACGCATTCAACAAGAGTAATAAGCTCGCGGTTATTGGCGTGGGCAACAAAGACTTGCCGGCCGCCAACACTGTATACATACTGGCTGCTTGCAACGCCAATCCGACAACCAGTCTCATCCATATTGTACATATCGTCAGGTTGTACGCCAAGCTGCTCTATAGTAGCTTGAAGCTGCTCGAACCACTGGCGTAACGCGTCAGGCTGTTGCGCCAGCATACGCTGTACTTCCATCGGCTTGCTCCTAACGCGGCGGTACTTTTGATGCCTCTGTAGCCAGCGTCGCGCCCAGTTATGACCTAGTGGCGGCGGTGATTCGTCTGGTCCCATGTACGACTCTTGAAGCAACGCGTAGGCTTGTTGCGCGATCACGTGG